CATGACAGAAGGGAAGTTTTGTGTATGCCTGCAAACAGCAGCACATTTAAGGTATGAATGCCAAGTTAAGTTAGTTCTAACGAAGTATCAAACACTGCTATAGCCTTAAAAACAGGAATTCTGAAGTTGCATTGTTTTTGTTTCAAATCCTGACAAGCAATTTTCATATTTATACTACAAATCTGCTGCAAAGGTAAAGAGACTGTTTATTACCTTTTAGGAAGGTTTTGAAATTGTCACTTAAGATGAACTATTTTACACCATGTAAGGTTTACCTGGACTTTCCTGGGTACCAGTCTTGGCCAAGTGTCGTCCTCATTTTTAAGGGTTACTTCTGATACACCATAAGGAAGACTAGAATTTAAAAATGTCAAGAATCCTAAGGAAATTTAACTATTCTGCCTGGCTTTATCTTACAAAGGCAGCCTAGAATTATTTTGACCTACTGTGCTGATCTTGATCCAAAACTCACCAAACCACAGAAGCAAGATCAGCTACAAGCAATATTAGTCTTTAAGATACACACTGGTATTTCCTTCTGTATCACCTAGAAGAGAAATGCTTGCTAACTAGAGTTTAAAGCAACAGAAACAAAGCTATATGCCAATATGTCAGTAGAAGATGTTATATCACATACAAGTCACAGTATCACTTGCAAAGCAGAAAGCAACATTAACGGGCACATAAGAGAGGAACTCTTCAAATCTTTTAATTTTGCTTCCTCCCTTTACTGCCTTTTTATATAAAGGTTTCTTAACCAAATTAATTTTCTTCCGTTGAAGCCAACATTGTCCACAAGACAGACTCTTCTGAGAAGGTGATCTTAGAAAGCAAGTAGATTTGTAACAGTTATCTGTGAAATACCACAGCACTTCAGTAGTAATTTGCAGGCCTGTGAGCCTAACAGTCATCATCTTGTCTTTTATATAGCAAGTCTAACCTCTTAACAACGAAATTCCCTGCATAAAATTCCCTAGAAGTTTTAACACCTGAGAGATGTAGAAGTCGAGAACAAAGGAACATCAATGGAATAAAATTAAACTCTTACAACTGTGATTTGCGTAAGCTTCCACTTGCAATATACACAACTGCTAAGGCTCCCTGAATTAACATTTCAAAAACACAAGTTGAAGCAAATATAGTAAGGATTATCCTCCTAGCAGTTGTTTTGTAACAAGCATCACAGAAAGACCAAAATTATTAGCAAGAGATGCCACCTTCAAAAGCCTCTCCTAATAAGAGCATAAGATTTTAAACAAGACCTACCTAAAAGTTTCAGGATTACTTTTTTGTGTTGTTGGGGTTTTTTTGTCACATCAAGTACTCTCCAAGCAAAGTACTGGAGCAGAAAGAGTGAGAGTAATTTAAATGCAACCTATTTTAGATTACAAGCTTAAACAGCACCTGTATGAGTGCCCTCATCTTTCAGAAAATAAACCAGACCTGAAAACATCTACTGATCTGATATCATGGTCTACCTTCCATGAAAAATAACTTTAGAACTAACTCCCAGGAGCAGCCACTTGAGATGCTCAGAGTAACATCACAAATCACAAAGCAAAACCAAAGAAGTTGGAAGAGACACACAACTATTCAGGTGGGTTTGAAGATAAAAGTAGACAAAATGCAAATCTACCATTTTCCTGACAAAATACTATTCTGGCTTGGCAAAAAGTTGATACAATTCCATGGCATTCTGAAGGCTGGTGCAAGCAAAACACACTTGACAGCAAGAGCCATATGAATGAAGTTACCAGCACCATGCCCGCACTGATGTTTCTTTTCACATACAGCGCTGTCAGACACAGCAAACGTGCTTATACATTAGTTGGTCCTTTATGTAAGCTTGAAAAGTAGTTTAATTTCAATAGTTTAAGATGCTTTAGGAAAAGCCCCATAGATATATATCTGTGTTTTAGACAGCCAAACTCAAAAACCCTCACCGCAAGTGACCATATGTAGGTTACATATAGAAGAATTAGCCCAATTACAGATTGGGTTTATTGACATTTTATGCATCATGTGCAGAAAAACTGAAGCACAAAGCTACTTCAGAGCTCTGAATAAGAGATCATTTGAACATTACACATGACATAATTGACAATCCTCCTCTGAAGCTCTCTGGTTACCACTTCTCATCTGTATTATTTTACCTGGCCTAAATTCAAGCCCAACACCTAGCTTTAAGCCTCCCTTTCTGTTCTCAGATTACAGCCTGACAAATCTTGTAAAGTGCTGATATTGAGTATACCTGGTGATAAGTATTTTTCAGTGTCACATAGTATCACTTTATTTTGATTTTCATTTTCAGTAACGAACAATTCAGTCACAATACATAAAGCTCATTGTGCATCATTCCTTGCAAAGTTAAAATAAGAAGCCACCCAAATAGACAAGAAACTGCCCTGTTTGTTTTCTCACAGTAACTGTGATAACTAGGGAGATGGGTATACTGCAAGTCTACTGAATGCTAAAACTTTTAATGATACAGTCTGAAGTTTAAAACAACCGAGTTTTCACCATCAAATCACTCAGCCAACAGACTCTTACCTCCAGCCATCTAAGTGTCAGAAAAACCTCAGTATCCAATCACCCAACTGAAAGGTTATTTGAGATACACTTTTTTTTTTTAAATAAAAAGGGATGAATCAGTTCTGCTTCTACAAGGAAAACCAACAATACACCCACACAAGCATAAGAGCCAAACTCAGATGATGTTTAAGCTTAGGGAACCATCTAATGCGAGACAGGGTTCTTTCCCTTCCCAGTAGCCATCAGTCTTTACTGGTCTATCTTGTCCATTCTTGCCTGTTCTACAGACCTACCATGATTTTGTTGCATATGCCCATTTGAGAAGCAAGACTTCAGTGAGCATGTGCTGAGCATATGGGCAAGGTAATTTCCTGCTCATTCCCACATTACTCAAAAGCAGCAGCCTGCTCCCTTCCCAGCCACAAAACCTGCTGCTTGCTTCTTCCAAAGGGCCCTACTCCCATTTGTTACATTGCAAAGCCTGGGGCTGTGAAGAAGGAGGACAGATGAAATGTCACTGCCACTGCCAGAATAATTCTTCAGGAAATTCACTTTCAAGAGCTCCACTGAAAAAAGAACAAATAGGAATAGGCCAAGAACTGGCTTAACTGAACTATCAAGCAACACTGGGCTACCAGACCATTGCCTGGGCAGCCTAACCTGAGCAGAAGAGAACAATTCTCCCTGTGTATCAGTTCCAGTTGAGTTCTAGCAATATACTCAACACAGTGATCCCACACACTCTAGAGCAAAGTTCGCACATTCAAAATTAAGTTTTCTTCCAAGACAAAAACTTCAGAGTGGATTTCTTCTCACAGTATTATTGCTATCTGCAAAGCTGAGACATTCAGCTTTATCCATCAGCATGGCATGCGAGTTTTAACTCAACCACTGAATTTGGCAGTCAAAGTTTACCCCAGTAGGCTGACAGACCTTCTCCCCTATTGAAATCATCATATTTCAAGACTAAAGAGAAAAAAAAAACCAACTAATACATGTTAGTAGAATTACACAGCTTATCAGTACATATGAAAATTTACGTATGTCTGTAGCAGTTACAGCCAGAAGTTAACCACAGGATACGAGTATGAGGAGTCCCAACAGCCACATTATACTGTATCTAATTTTAGCCCGCCTGCATATGTTCAATGCCTTCCCAAAAACCAGGACTGAATAGGAGTTAAGAGCCACGTGGACAGCAATGAAACCATTACAAATGCTTAAGTCCTTGCTGCTACTCTCCTTACTAAACACCAAATCATTTACCTCCTCCCCCTCCTCCTAAGAGGGCCAAACAGAATTAAGAACTACTCCACTACCATAATGTAATAAATAACATTCAAAAGGGAAAGCCAAAAGGGCTTGTAGGGCTATTTCTGCCCCACAACATCTAGCAGATCCCCAACAGTGGGATCACTCCCTACAAGGCACTGTATACACACCCACACACAAGTACATAAATCCTTCACTCTCTCTACAAAGAAATATATGCATGTGCATACACCCCACAGGCCTTCCTCAATCATTTGAGGAAAAAATGCAAGTCCCCAAGGGCCTTCTAATGCTTTCACATCCCCAAACTAGCTTTCTGCATAACTTTTCATTGCTCCTGATGAGAAATTCAGAGAGCAATGGCATGATTCTTTCTGATGTTAGAATCTCCACTGTCCATTTCAGAGCAGCCAAGAATTGAATTAGCATGAATCACCACCCTTAGGTGATATGTTTCCATTTTCATACACTCTGTGAACAGAAAATGGTAGTTTTCTAAATCCGTTCCAAAAAGTTACTTTCAGATATTAAAGGAGCTCCAAACTAACTCAGGATCAAAAAAAAAGAATGCTTTGAAATTCGAACTAAAACACAGAAGTATTTCATGTATAAAAACACTTTCAACTAAATTTAAAAAAAAAAGGACTTGTTAGACAACAGTACACAACAGGTCCAGCGTTCACTGCACAAAGTTTGTTGTAGTATCTAATCTCGTCTCACCTGAGCATCCTTTTCAAGCCTTAGTACCATAAATGAAAACAACCTGCTTTATTACTAAACAACTACAATCATGTCTTAGCCCTGCAGGAATCCCAGGTATCTAAGTGTGTGTGATTACTTCTGTGAGATCAGCATAAAGCCTTACATTGCAATTCTCTATTAACCATACATCTGCTATATTGAACAAGACACAGAAAATTGCTCTGTGAAGAAAACACACAAGAAAACAGGGTACCAACAGATTATTACTGCAGGGAATGCCAGGATTTGAGTTTATCCTCCTATGTTGTGCAAGCTTATTATACCAGCTTGCAAGTTACAGACTTAAGGACAATTTCTCTTTCTCCATACAAAGATTATGCCAAGGTGGAACCAAGAACTGCTCAGTGAGAGGTGCCTGCAAATGCAAAGGCGAATTAACAGTTTCATATCCAGTTGCAGAAATAAACTGCTCTTACCCTTCACCTAATACTTACTGTTGGCTCCCACATCCTCAGCTACTCCAGAACCTCTCATTCTCAGGTATGTGAATCCCAGTATCAGAAAGAACAAGCATGCAGCAGTTAAGAGGAACATGGACAGGTAATGTGCACTGAAGCCTCCAGTGGTGGATACCTCCTCTCTTTTGAACTGTTGGAGAAGCTCCTCCTCGGGCTCCGAGAGATTCTTCTTGTAGGTGTTTTTCAGGTAGGTATGATTTGAACCCGTATGATTGGAGTGGTTGAGTCTAAGAGAGGAGGTGGTTCCACCCGGGAGAAGGCTATTAGTAGCTGAATAGATCCTGGATTCAACATTATAGCTCCCAGCCGCACCGCTGAGAACGTGATTATTGGTCGCTTTCCTAACGGTGCCTGGAGGGTCAGTGATTTTACTGCTGTCCACATCCGTGAGCGGTGGTGGAAGCAACAATACTGTAGGGGATTTCTTAGATAGGCCAATGCGGTATCTGGGGCTGGGAGGACTAGAGTCCAGATCTTCACATCGTCCTCCTCCTCCTCCTCCTCCCCCC